TAAAAATTTTGGGATTAAAAGACTAAAAACATATTTTTTTAAATTAAGAAACCAAACTAAATATATACTTTAGTTTAATTTATATTACTCACTTGTTATTAAGATTTTTTAGTAATTAAATTTTTATTTTGTCACATACTCAGTCTCCTTCTATTATTTTCTTGGGATGTTTTGTTGATTTCCCTTTATACTTTCCCATCTTGGAATCCTCCCTTCCTAAGTCATGTGAACATGACATAATTGCCTTTAGTGCCTTCTATGTTAAGAATCTTATCCCTCCCAATTTTTTTTTTTAAAGAAAAGGAGAATTTCCACTGAAAAATGAAAATACGTGGAAAAAAAAACCTATTAATTACGTCAAAGAAAATTATGAACAAGGTGGAAATGTTAAAATGCGTTCAAAATGTTAAAAGCCTGTTTAGCGTCGTCACATAGTCTATCTATAATTCCTATTCTCTTTATTTTATAACTGGCAGTTTTCGGACATCATGAAAAATCATAAAAATTATTTATTATATTTTTTAGTATTGCTCCTTTTTAAAATTTATTGTTTTTTCAATTTAATTCCTTTTCATTAAAACATGTGTTTTGATATGAATAAAATTTTGAAATTTTTATTTTTAAACATAGTTAATGAGTTAATAGTATCTTCTTGTTTCTCTTGAGGAGGTTAAAAGTACTTCATAAAAAAAATTCAATATTAAATATCAGTCCTTTCAATTTCTTCTTACAAAGTATGACACCAAAAAAAAACATTCTTACAAACTGGGATGATTTATTTTCTTTCAACGACAAATTAACCTAAACATAAAATATTATATAAAATTTAACCCGACAGTCGATAACTTTTTTGTTTTTTGTTGCAACAACTCGATAGTCGATGACGATGATGATTTGGTTCAATTATGTAAAAAAATTTCTTGTTCCGAATAATTATATTTTTTTGGGCCAAAATTCCGAATAATTATATGGGGGGCCAGATTTCCAACCTGACACGTGGAACATTGATACTTGGGCTAGTGGCCAAATTTCCAGATTCCATCATTTTAATGTCCTTTTTATTATTTTAAAAATAGTACTGTGGATCTTTTTTTTTCAACCTCAATTGTACGAACCACCAATTTTGTCTACTCATTTATTCCCTCTTCTTTATCTAATAAAACCAATCACCATCAAGTGCCGTATGAAGCATCAATTTTCTATACAAATCTTGACTTTACTAGTTCAATTTTCCACTAATGTTAAAAATTCATTTTAAATAAAAATTATAATTCCTGTTTTTTTTTGCCTCAGCATTTGGAACCAGATGTTACAAAAATTATCAAGATGAACCCATGTCTTAAACAACATAAACAGAAGAACCAGCCCCACCAGCCTCCTACTATTATTATGCAGAACCAGAATCAAATAATCAACTGATTTTGGAGAAATAAAAAGACATTTATATATGAACTGATGATATTATATAGATCATCAAACAAGAAACGTACATAAGCAGAGATGTTAGATCAACTAACCAGATCATGATTCCATATTTCCCAAAAAGACATATATAAAACCCAGATCAACAGCCAAAGAAACCTCAAAACAAGACAACCTAGCATGCATGTATTTGAGAACTTTAAGGTGCATGATGATCCAGATCTATACTAGCTCATCGATCCATGGCTCTTTGTTGCGCAGGCTTTGAAAGTAGCCTCTAGGGTTTCTTTCAAAGGGGTCTCTGTGTATGAGCAAGCCATCCCGACCAGGAGCTTTCATGGTTCTTCCTCTTCTTCTTCTTCCGCACATACATCCACAACAACACATACAACATTTGTACAAACACACAACAGCAACAACAACAGCAAGAACTATTCCTGCGATCACAGCATATTTCTTAACGACGTCGTTTTTCCCGGCGGTTTCAAAGATTTCCCCTAACCAATCCTTGGTGCTCTCGAACCATTTTTTGATGCTGTCGAACCAACTCATTTTCTTACTGATCGATCTGAACACAGTTCACTCTTCTGCTTAGCCTTCCTTCTGTGTGGGTTTAGTTTATATATGCGGGAACAATTAGTTTATAGTCCTTGTATTTTGTGCTTATTTGTATTTTAGTCCCCAAGACTTTTAAATTTTTAAGCATTTCCTTATAATTTATATTGTTAGTGGCTTTTTTTTGGTTGGACTCAGTACATCCACTGCTGGTACTGGTATTCAATTCCCTCCTCGCATTATAGATTTTTTTAAAAGAAATTTTAATATTAATTATAAGGCCCTCTCCATATATACAATCATGAATTGAATCCCTAACTTTAGGGGGTGATTGGATGAAACCAAACCATGATTTGGAAATAGCTTTTGGAGAATAGATTCTTGAAAAAATAAATTTTATGAAGAATAGATTTTATAAAAAATTGATTCTGAGAAGTGAGAGTGTTTGGATAATTGTTATCAGAAGTACTTTTTATATGTACAAATTACTAAAAATGGCATAAGTTAATATGATAATTACATAAAAGATAAATTTTATGATATATTTTAATTTGAAGGAATAAAATTGTTAATAATATATTTTTTACCAACATAATTAATAATACATAAGATAATATAATTAATAATTAATTAATATGTGTATATATTTATAAAATATAAGATTAAATATGTTTATAAAAAAATAATTGAGGGGTGTTAAAGTCATATTATCGTTGAGATCTACTTTGACAGGCATAATCATACTCTCTAATTTAAACCAGAAGCAAAATAGATCACTTTTCTTGAAACCATGATTTTGAGTCCAAAACCATGATTCTGGCTTGAAACCGCCATTTGTTAATTTTTCTTCCTGTTTAGCAAATTTGAGACCAAAACCATGGTTTAATCTCAAAACTATGGTTTCATCGTATTGCCAAACACCCTTTTAATGTTTAAAAAGACCCAATTATGGCTGGTCAAAAAAAAAACACACCCAATTATGTGTAGCTGTGAGAGGCAGTGTGATTTGGCAATAGGGCCTCTTTAATTATAGGTCATTGGTAAATGTTAAATTAGGGGGTATTTGGATAAAACCAAACCATAATTTGGAGAATAACTTCTGGAGAATAGATTCTGGGAATAATAGATTTTGTGAAGAATCGATTTTGTAAAAAAGTAATTCTGAGAAGTGAAAGTGTTTGAATAGTTGTTACTAGAAGCACTTTTTACATGTACAAATTACTAAAAAGGGCATAAGTTAATATGATAATTATATCAGGGATAGATTTTATAATATATTTTAATTTGAAGGAATAAAATTGTTAATAAAATAATTTTTACTAACATAATTAATAATATATAAGATAATATAATTAATAAATAATTAATATGTGTATATATATTTATAAATTATAAGATTAAATATGTTTATAAAAAATGATTATTTTTTTCTAACAGAAAAATATTAATTTGCTTTAAATATTTTCTGGTAAAAAAAAGCTAAAAAAACAATAAATAACAACGTACTACCTCTTTTTTGGTCCCAAAAAAAAAATATGCTACCTCGAACAATGAAGGACCGAAGACAATATACTACCTCTGAACAGTGAAGGACCGAAGGGTATATATGTCTGGTCAAAATCCTTCTCCCTAGAACCAGCTGACAGTCTCCCACTTTTTTTCCAGAAGCAGATAAAAAATGCTTCTCACAAAACCATGATTTTTAGGCCAAATCATAGTTTTAACCTAAAACCATGGTTATTGATTTTTTATGGGTGTTTGGGTAAATTTTTCCCAAACCATGGTTTGGGATGACACCCAAACACCTCCTTAATCGTCTTCCCCAGTCGGAGTGCAGGTGGGATGTCATGTCAGACTTTATCATGTCCTTTATATTCTTTTCGATATAAAGCAGATCAATGTAGACAGAAAAATTCACCCAAAAAAATATGGAGAAGGCAAATAAAGTACACTAAAAAAAATATCATCTAGTTCTTCTTTCTCATTAAGGAATCGTTTGGAACAAATTATAAGTATCTTATAAACTACTTTTTAATAGTGATTTACAGAATACGAGACAAGTATGTGAGATGAGTTTTGTCTCGATTTACGTGAAACGTGTTTATAGGAGAAACGGGGCCTAAGTCCTCTCGTATTGGCATGGTTTTTACTCAGCCCTTAAAAACCTGTGACCTAATAAAAAAATTATGTGAAAAACTAGAAGAACATGAAAAAAAAAAATTTGCAAGAACCTAATTAAAAACAGATAATACCATAAAGAATTGATAAAATGAAAAAACTATACAAATTTTATTAAAAATCAGGTAAAAATATAGGAACTTGTATATTCCTACATTTCTTATTATAAGATCCAATCATGCAAATAACCAAATGGTGTGATTTAAAAAAAATGTTAAAATTATTTAAAAATAATAAATATGAATTGTTTTCAAAGACTATAGCAACCTGAAAAATGGAATAAGCTTACCATACATTTTTTGCGAAGGTTTCACACAAAAGAGAAAATAGGCGTCAAAGAGTAATCTGTCTTTGTAACCATTAAAACAAAGAAAAAGAGTAATCCATGTGAGAATGTTACAGAATATCAATTTCCGATGTAAGATTGATTATTCTTTTTGTTGGGGTAAATTTCAGACAAGTAGGATGTACTTTTTACATGCAAACTTGGATTTACAATTTAATTCATTACGAGATATGTCAAATATGGAGAAACAATTTAGCGAGTAAAATGATTTATGATTTGAAGGCAAAAAAGCTGCTTTATAATTTGAAGCTACATGCAGTTAAGGAAAAATATTTTGGATTCAAATTTATTGGCAATAATGTTAATAATTTTTTAGATTAATCTTACTAGGAAGGTTAAGTACAATTTTCATTGAATAAGACATGTCTATGTGAGAAAAATTTCAATAGAGAGCTAATAATCGTACATAGGATAAGGGTAGGTCATTATAGATTTTTATATAAAAAAATGAAACTACTTATTGGCTTCTTTTACTGATGTTTCCCTGTGAAATGAGATAAAAAAATAAAACTCATTTCCCAGAAAGAAATGAAATAGAGGCACCATAAAATTGGTCACTTATGTCTTCTGAAATTATAAATTAATATTTTAAAATTAAAAAAATTAAAAAAAAATCAAAACCGACAATAATAGAAAAGATTGATTAAATTTACATGGACACAACCATCTTTCTATATATCAAAACTCGACTGTAACTAAGGGGCTAACAAAAATGGTACAGGTATAAACTCTAGCGTTCGTACTAGAGGATAACTTCAACTTGTGAAGAATTTTTTTGAGGCTGGCGTCGTGAGGGCTTGAGCAGTCCACCATTGTTGCAAACTCAGTGGTGAAGCTTCTCTGAACCTTTTCACTGCAACATCTCAATGGAAGACACAAATATTCAAATTCGATTCATTCTCCATTTTTCATCTTTCTCTTTTGCTTCCTTCGCTGATCACGCAAACCTGAAATGACCATAGTTTATCAGATAATTCAGCAAAACCAACATCCTCAGTCAGAATAAACCAAAAAAGCACAATTGGGGTGGCTATGAGAAAACTAAAATAATCATCAAACGACATTACGTTTTTTCTCGTCTTTCCTCTTTCGTTTCAAATTCTCCATCCTCTTTCCTGTGTCTTTGACGGCCATGCGCACCTGTGAGAAGAAAGTAGGAAAAAAAAAAAAAAACAAATGAAGATATTGAAAGATATAAACCAAATTTCATTTGATACTCAAGGAATTCTCAAGTTCTTTCACACAATATAGTATATCATCACATAACAAAATCATATTTCAACTTCTCCATTCTCAAATCAAGACGATAAAGGACGCCATGAAAGAAATGAAACCCCAAAAGCAAGGACTTTCTGGACAGATCCTGACATAATTTACAGGATTTATGCAGATTAAACTACTCAAGAAAAAACACAAATTATACACGCACTCTAGTTGAAAGTCAAAATACACTTTTGACATGATAACTTTATATGACCCCATCTAAAAACCAAATTATATCATTATTTTGTTCCAGTCTCAGTTTTAGGGCTGATTGTATTGTCACAAGCTAAAATATCATAAATATTAGGCTTATAGGAAATGGTGCAAAAGTCTACCTCCTCACCAGCATTCCGCAAAGCTTGAAGAGCTTCTACACAATCTTGACCAATCACAACCAATTTTCCCTTGCCAGTTACTCCTGCACTTCCTTGCTTTTGTCTGGCTAATTGTTGGAACTGTTCCTGCATCAGAGGTGTGATCCCCCCCTGCAAAGAGAATATATGTTTTAGAATTTTGTAGATTTGAAAAGACATATAAGATAAGATGAAGGTCTACAGTGTAATACCCCTGCTAAATATCGGTGTGAAAATTGTTTTGACTGTAAGGGGCGAGAAAGAAGTGCTTTGAGTTCCTGCAATGGTTCATTTAGGGAAGAGTTAACAGTCAGAGGAAATTTTACCTGAGGGGAAACATGGGGGGAAAGAAAGTGGCGGCCAAACCAGTTCAAGATGGAAAATTACTAAGAACCAGACCTGCTGCAGCTTCTTCAACTGAGTAGAGCTGGCTTTCATTTGCCTATATTTCTTCACCCTTTCCTCCTCACTGTCATAATTTTCCACAACTAACTCCACTGACTCAGCATTCCGCTCAAACCAGCTTTTCTGAGCTTTTTCCTAAAATATACAGAGTAAAAAGTGCATTGGCATATAAAACTTTACATATCTAGCAAGAGGAAAGAAAAAAAGGTTGAAGACTTGAAGCAAAATGTGAAGTGAAAAGAAAATTATACAGTCATTGTGCAGGATGCAAAATTATACCTAAACCAGTGCACGGATTTGGGGGGGAAAAAGGCAGGATATGGATTTGGCAAGGTATCATATATTAAAATTCTACAACAAGCAATAAAACATTTATGTATAAAATTATAATTAACAAGAAAAAGCTTTTGAATGATGGGGCACAGGTCCCTGGGCCGCAGACGCAAGGCCTCACCTGATTATATGCAATGTGTGGCATGATTAAATGATAAGCTTTATTTATTGGTTCATTTGAAGTGGAAAGGATAGGAAATGATCCCAACAATCATATGTACCCATAAATTGAATAATGCTTCAAAAGTCAGCCATTAGCACTCCATTGGTGCAAACAAGTGAATCTATTTACCTGTGAATCCTTTCGTATTATTTTGTCTATTTGACGGGCAATGGATAATCGCTTCAGAACTTCCGGCATGAATGAATTTTCTAAAGGAAATCGCTTAAAAGTGTCCTATATATGTCAAACAAGAAGTAGAAATGTAAGTGATTCATCAAGTCCAGATCAAGCAAAAAAATATCCAGAACTTGTTCGTTTCAACTTTGCAGCAAGTCCAGTGAACTCTCGTATACCAGATACATGGATCAACTAACTCTTAAGAACCTAATAACACAGTGCTATTATCAAAAGATTAGCAGAGGTTCAAATACTATTTCAACTAAGATTCTCAAATTTAGAGGATTAGAATAGTACAACTTTGTATTTCTGGGGATTAGCCAAAAAAAAAAAAAACCTTGGAAAAGGACTTGCACAATGAAGCAAACTTTGATGTATCTTTTGGTGAGATCAAAGCAATGCTGCATCCTTCAGCCGAAGCCCTAGCTGTTCTTCCACTTCTATGCACATAAACCTAAAGATAGGAAATAACTTTCAGATGATAAAACAAACATATTATAAACATACGATTCTAGAAGAGTTTTTACTGTTGACAAGTCATCTATGAACCATTTTAGTTTTTGGGCTGCGTGTAATGCTTCTCTTATTTCATAGATTTATTTTAAATTTTCAGCTCTCTTTCCTTGAAATTCATGCAATGCACAAGTGGCTTTCCGGTGCGTGTATATAACCAAGGGTGAAAGAAGCCTGATATTGACTTACATCTGCCGAATGGGGAAGCTGATAGTGGACAACCGCTCTAACACCAGGAATATCAAGACCCCTTGCTGCAACATCAGTAGCAACAAGTATGCCACTTTCATCTTCACGAAAGCGATCAATGGCCTGCATTAAATAAGAGAAGAACTTAGAAGTCATGCATGTCACGATGAGGTAAACCAAAAACATTGTTCAAGGGATCTGAGAGGGAAGGGGACAAATGCTAAAGATAATCTTGAGTGACGGCTGTGAATCCCATTGGCTGTGATATTAGTAGCATCATCATGTGAGAATGACCATACTTTACTCATATTTTAAGGCTTACATGAACACAACTAATCAATACAGGGAAGAACGTAGGTATACTATGAAACGCACACAACTTCAAAAAGAATGCATGTTCATGTTGAGTGCACATAACTTGTATTAAACATGATATAACTACTCATTCAAAAGAATCCTATATAAGTGGGGTAAATATCGGAAGAGTCACCCTTTTGTTCGAGGCTACTGAATTGATTAGTAGAACATTGAAGCGGGATTATACGTTTGAAATTTGATTCATATTTGCAAGTATCACAGCAGAGACAATATCAAATTGTTCATTAATTGTCTACCAAGATGGTACATTTAATGATAAAAGTTTAATTAAGAGTTGGGTATTACATAACAACCTGATATTTTTCAACTCCTTACTATACAATCTGAGAAGTGTATCCTTTACAGCAGAGACAGTATCTTTTGCAATCATACCTTGTTCTATATGCATTCTATGTAAATCATCTCAACCTTCCATGCTCTGAACCATCAAATCTAATTTCCATGCTATACCGTTGGTTCTGTCAAATATCATGTTAGCTAACCATCTATCACCTTAACTTTATGACTATGTGTGATTGTTATTTTAATTATTGACTTCACATTATAACCAGCACAGCCGACTATGGGATACCAAGTCCCATGTTAAGCAGAATGGGACGCTTGATAGGGTATTTTAGGGTGTTGATTCTCTCATCTCAATAGCCAGCTTTTGGGGTAGGGTTCCTCATCTTACTTAGGTAACCATCAATCGATATGAGAGCCAGGATGTTAGCAGTTCCAGAGAGGGCTACCCATGGAGAGCTTTGACCGGTAAGATGCCGAGTGAAGTGTCATGGAATGTAGCCGTCGGGGCATCAGCTTTCCATGGGAGGCCAATTGACGGGCACTTGGTAGTATGGGATACTGAGTCCCACGTTGAGTAAAATGGGATGCCCAACAGGATATTTAAGTCGGTTCGTTCTCCCACCTCAACAACTAGCTTTTGGGGTAGGGTTTCTCATCCCAATTAAGTACCCATCAGAATGCATAAGTTTTAAGTAATTCTTCTGAGATTATTTTCCTGTTTTGGGGCATCTTAGTGAGTAAGACATGGCCAAACACAGAATGACTTTCTTATCATATATTATGGATTAGAAACTTGACGAAAGCAAATTCACAATTTTAGAAAATAATAGAACAAAGTTTCTAGCATTTTGAATTCATTACTGACGTTAATTTAAGGGCAATGCTAAACCATCATAAACACTGTAGTTTTACAGCCTGCCTGTCTTTAATTTGTTCTACAATAGCCTGATTCGCTGACAGCCAATGAGATATCATAGGACAAGATGTAGTACCATATATCTCTTCAATTGAAAGAAGAGATCATAGATGCAACAAGGGATATCGAAACAGCAAAAGAGGATCATATAACAGGTAGTGCAGTTTGGCTCGGGCTATAAAATTCCTTTTTTCACTATCATGCTTTTGCTCACAAGTATTCATGATGAATTTTGCTTAAGCATGTTAAACGTAATTTTGATGGTATAAGACTTATTTGTGACTTTTATGTAAGTATACCTTTTGTTTTGGAAAGGAACAATTATAAGCCCACTCACCCATATCCACTCACGCACACACCATTCTCACATTGGGGTAGAACCTGCAACTTTCCTCTTTAGCAGAGGTGCTTTGTGACATTGATTGATCCCAAAATTTTGATAACCTCAATTGCTAAGGTCTGATGCTCAAGTGGATCCACATAGAGGAGGCATTTGATAATTTATTGCATTAATCATCAAAGTCAAATATTTTTATATTGCTAAAATAAACAATTGTGAAGTTATAGAGACAGACAACAACAATAAGCCTTATCCCACTAGGTAGGGTCGGCTACATGAATCACACGACGCCATCATGCTCTGCCAACAACCCAATCCTTAGATATGTTATTGATTAGGAGGTCTCGTTCAATGATCTCATTAAGCGTTCTTCTCGGTCTTCCTCTGCCCCTTTTTATAGGACTCCATCTTGTCTGATCCACCCTCCTCACTAGGGCCTCCAATGGCCTTCTCTGCACATGTCCAAACCATCTTAAGCGATTTTCAATCATTTTCTCTTGGATAGGTGCCACACCGACTCTTACCCTGATATTTTCATTTCGAATCCTATCTTTTCTTGTATGACTACACATCCATCTCAACATCCTCATTTTTGCTGCTACCCTGACTTTGTGCTCTTGTTTACCCTTTATTGACCAACATTCACTACCGTACAACATAGCTAGTCTTATAGCAATCCAATAAAATTTTTCTTTAAATTTCTCAGGTACCCTCTTATCGCAAATAACTCCCGTAACTTTCCTCCACTATAACCAGCCAGCTTGTATTCTATGAGAAACGTCTCCATCAATTTTCCCATCTTCTTGTATAATGGATCCTAGATATTTAAACTTAGATACTTGAAGAATGATTTGATCCCTCATCTTCACCTCCCTCCAAATCCCCATTGCCTTGCCTCCCCCCAAAATCACAAAGTTATAGAGACAGACTCAAAGAAAATTATATATTATGTTCATTCGGATAATTCAGCAAAATAAAACTTACAAGAAAGTCATCCAGATAATTCAGCACAACAAAACTCACAAGAAACCATGAATGAGAAAAGGGAAAGGAAACAAAACCTTTAAACGTGCTCGCTGTTGCATTTGAGCATGAAGAGTCACAGCGTTAACGTCAAGAATGCGCAGTAGAGAAGAGATATGACGCAAAGCTGCTATTGATGTACAGAATACTATTGTGCGACCTTGTCCATGGACAGTCAAGATATAGTACAGATACGCATCTTTGTCTTCTTCTTTGCATCTGTGTTCCACAACAAATAATTGATGTCATATAAAAAGTTATCAATAATCCAACAGAAGAAATTTCAGACAGAAGATAATATTTGCAATTTCGGAAACTTGGAATTCTATATTTAGACATGAGATTACTTACTCAATAAATGATTCTTCAAGCTTGGCTGCCAATATTGTTGGATTAGTGAGATCAATCACTGCAGCATTGGGTCTCATTCCTGCACGTTCGGACAGGGCTTCAATGGAATTAAATCCATCTAACACTGACTGATTTTGTTTTGTTGAAGCACGCTTTAGCTTCTTGCGAAAATCAGCAGATAATGCAACAGTTGCTGAAAAAACTAGAGTTTGTCTTTTCTTTCTTTGGTAGCTTGAAATTGTAACACAATGTTGTGCAGATTGAGGATCATCCACACCAGACGTGTTGGACATGGGAAGCATGTCAATTATTGATTGCAATTCTTTAAAATGACCACTTTGTATCATTCGATCAGCCTCATCAAGCACAAAGAATGACAAGGAATGTAACTGCAAAAACAAATCATGAAAGTGAAAAAACTAAGTTTCAATTTAAACAATATCTCAAGGACGTGAGCGCCAGATTTGAGGTAACATAACATCAAAATTTTTGTCCATAAATATTTATATTAGGCCCTGCTACATGCTTGAACATGAGCAACATAAAGCACTTTTGTGTTTTTCATTTATCATCTTTCGTCAACAACCATTTCAACCTAAAAGCTTCAGACTATGTGCAACCTAATAGTAGCTCATGTATTGCATGGCGTGGTGGGTTTAAAAATACCATCAGCCTATGACTGGGCTTTCTCTTTTGTGCTCTTCACTTTTAATTGACTTGCATTAACATAAGAGAGTTTCTTGTTGAACAATTCAACCTTCTTTTGCACGTTAGTTTCCACCTTGGCAACTATGTAACAAGCTATTATTCCTTGAAACAATTATTAAATCTCCACAACTAAAAGTTCCATCATGCTAAAACTTCATGATATACACTCTTAACAATTACCTCAACTAGATGCTTCTCTCCAGCTGACATCAGTTCCCATAACCTCCCTGGAGTCCCAACAACAATCTCAGGCCGTGCTTTTAAGAGTCTCTCCTGTTTTTCTGCTAAAATGCCCCCAACTATAGGAGTCACCCTAACATTGATGTATTTGGCTACTGCTTTCAGATGATCAGTGACCTGAAAACAAATTTACACATAGAATAATTAAGTTGACAAATAATATCATTAGGAATAATTATTTCCCTTGGGTCACAAGGAAGCATGCCAAACTATAAGGATCCGCTTGAGAACTCAATAATCTGAGAAATATATGATTTAGTAAATATTTTTGCAATATTTATTATATTAATATATTAAATAATTAAATAATATTAACTGTTATCTTAAAAAATTTTACGTGTTATTTAATAGCTATTTCTAGAGCAATATGATTTCGTGACATAAGCAAAAGAGATATGTGGAAGTTGTGAACCAGGTAAGATTCGGCACCTAGTGATTCTAAAATATTCCATCATTCTGTGTTTTGGTTTAAAAAAGAAAAATTAAAAAGAACTAGAATAGAATAGAATATAAATTTAAGCTAGTGATTCAAAAAATACTGTATCATGGAATTAAGCTAGAATAGAAATTTTTCCTTAGGAATTTATACATATAAAGAAAAAATTATTTGAGGAAGAATAAGTATCCCCCAAAGCCAAAAGACTAATTAACAACCCAATAGAAAATAAGAAACTTTGTTTCCGTTTTTTTTCCCCAAAAAAAAAAAAAGTTTAGATGAATGAGCTGGGTCTTGGAGGTTTATTCATCAAGGACAAAACAAACCAAACATCTCAAAGAGTATTTACAAAGATGCTATAACTTAAACATGCAGCCAAGCTGCCTAATTCTCTACCTATCCAAGAGAGACACTCCCTTGAAAAAGCAAAGCCAAAACCCAAATAAAAGCCACAAACATTGTCCTAGTCTAGCAATTTGAGCATTTTGCTCTAATCAAATACCCCAAGAACAAAGTAAGATAGAGTAGACATTTTTAAAATGTCGGTTTTTGCCAAGAAACCACATTTCAATGCCAGATTTTGTACAAGGCCAAGTTTGGTTTGAATAAAACTTGGAAACACTTCTCAATTACTCTAGCATCTTCTTTGTAACTTCCACCCATTTGTCATTTACTGATACTCAATTTCAAGCAGCATTCTTTCTTCAATATCATTAAACATGAGGTTTGTATTCCTTATTATTTCGTCAGATAATTTGTTTATTCAACAACCATAAAATCTTAGGAAACCCATTATTAGCCCCATAACACACTAATTACTAAAAATAAACAAGTTCCCCCATCATCTATTTGTGCAGGACTTAACATTCAAACATTAAAAATACATAACTGAACAAAAACCCTAGACAAATACCTGAAGTGCAAGTTCCCTGGTTGGAGCAATTATAAGAGCCCTTAGAAGGCCAGTAGGAGCATATTGGTCAGGTTCTTCACCCCTTTGTTCAACCATCCTGGCAGCTTTTTCCCTCTCCTCTAAAAGGCGTTGCAAAATGGGCAAACCAAAAGCAAGCGTTTTCCCAGATCCGGTCTCAGAAGCCCCAACAACATCCTGCCAAAAGTGAACAAACAATAAATATCATAGACACTAATTGTTTGAATCAAGTTCACCTGGTGCCTTTAAGAGAAACCTTGACCAACCTTCCCTTGATGAGCAGCAGCTGGAATACAAGCTTTCTGTATTGGCGTGGGCTCCTTGAACCCAAGCTTGTAAATTGCTTTCATGAGCAGAGGATGAAGTCTCAACTCATTCCATGCATAAAATTCCATTTCGTCGATGGCCTCTTCATCTTTGTCATCCTTCACGTTAATAACTTGATCTGGAAGCACAAGCTGTGGTTAGTGAAACAGCTTACTCTTGCCCAAGTACTTATGTTGCAAAAATATTTAGCATCCAGAAATTTTTAGGATGATATGTATAGCCAGATAACACGGAACAAAACTGTAAAATCTCCACAGGTGCGTGCATGCACGCAGGAAAAAAAAAAGAAATAAAGAAAGAAAAGAAACCAAAACCTGAAACTAAACAACTAATAAGTATAACAGGAATCCTTCATCAAAAGGATAGTGAGAACACCACCTAAAAAAACCTTTAAAAAAAACTGATATATTTATCAAGAAAAATGCAAGCAAATTCCCTCAACTTCAGTTATTTGCAAACACTGTCCTCAACTTAAATAGTAAAATTAGCCCTTTAAATGTTTACCCTTTAGGTAGCATTTAAAAACCTATCCTTTTTCTGACAAATGCCACTTCAAACCCTCTTCCTTACCTCATGGCATCCTTCCGTTAGTCTAAACAAAGTTCATTTTCTTTGCAGAAAAAATACAGCATAAAAATATCTAGCAATTGTTTACTCTTTTTTTCCCTTTTTGCCTAAGGACACAAAGGGATATATTCACATTTACAAGACTAACTTTTATTTTCTTTTCTTTTTCGTTCCACACAGACTAGACTTGATATACCAAAACCTGACCAAAAAATGTCGCTAAAATGATGTGAGACATGTTCGTTAGTGATTTTCAAGTTGGGCAGAAGCAAAATGAGATAGCACGGGGAGAGGGCCATGCAGGGCCATGAGACAATTGACGGCAATGATGTTATTCGGTATGGCTGTTCAAAACTCTGAACAGAGGGAATCATCCATGTAGGACCATGAGGCAGCAGATGCCAGTGATTTTATTGGATTACTGGTCAGCACTCTGAACACGAGGAGGGGTCCAACCCTTAGTATGGCGGCAAAAAATTAGTTAGCAGTAAGAGCATTATAAGAGTACGTACGCTGGTAAGGTCTGTGATGAGCCTCTATATGTACTGATATCAAAAGTTAAGCTTAAATAGGGTTGGTAGATGGGGATGATAGGTACCAGCATCAAGGTAAAATTCACGGTATAAGGAAAGATTAAGGAACTAGAAGGGCCTCTTATTATATGTATGCTATACTGAAAATATTGATAAGACACAGAAAACAGAAGATAAATAATGGCAATTGGAACAAACCACCAATTAACCAAAGGAAACGGGCCCTTCAGTAGTCTAACCAATCTCAATATGCTCAAGCCCACACTGACACACGCAAGTACAGACGGATGAATGCATATATACATAATTTAGGATTAAATTTGAACACGATCTGGCACATACCAGCAGCTTCCTTTTTCTTCTTATTTTTCTTCTTCTTTTCCTTCTTTACAGTCATTACACTCTCATCCTTGTTTTCTTCCAAATTTGTCCCAGCCTCATCATCACAGGCACCCTCTACTTCACTTAGCTTCTGTTTCTTCAAATCTGCTTTATGTTTAGACTTCTTTTTCCTCTTGCCTTTTTTGGGATCAGGAGTTTCTAAGCCATACTCAGCTTCGTCAATCTCTTCCAGTGAAAGAAAACCTGTATGGGCAATTTTCCCGAGGAAAAAAAAGTGAAGTTTCAAAAAATAAAATAAAATTTTGCAGTTGAAGAACAAAATTTTCCCTATTTGCACATAAGGCCTGTAGTGCGTACATAGACTTCAGATTATAATTAGCAGCACCAGAAAGTTCCCACACCTTCTCTAGTTTATGTCTGAACTCTAGTAAAGCACAAAACTTCTCTAACTTACTTTCAGCTTCTACCAAACCATAGTTTTAGAAAATTCTTCCAAAAGAAGAAAAACCCATGCCCCATACTTCACCTATCCAGAAGCAGAACAAAAATTACATAATGTTAAAAATAAATTCAAACCTCCTTCAAGTTCATTTGAGCCTACAAGCAAAGAAAAAGGATCGTCATTTTCAACAAAAGAGGGGTTCCACGACAACGAGTTCAGCCGTTCGAGTTCTGGGTCTTCCCGGCTTCGTTTTCTCTTAGGCTTTTGGTGTTGAGCAGAGGTCTCTGGTGGATTGACCTCCATGGGAAAAATACAGAGAGTTGCAGGCCAACCAAAGACAATAGAGATATACTAGGGCTCAACTTCGCTTGATTTCTTCCCCAAATTTGAATCAGCCTAAGCAATAACACCGCCAGATTTCAATCACCTCATAACCTCCCAAGACAAAAGGCAAGAGAAAGAGCAAACAAATGCACAGAGACCAAACTAACTGTCAAGGAAATCCCTCCCTGCTTCCTTAGCTCGATACGGGGCCGATTAATAGCAGCCCCCTTTGGTGTGGTGCGGCGGCGGCAGTTCTACAACAAACACGCCGATGAGTAGCAAACGGCGGCGTTAGAGACGGAGGGAAAGCTGAAACAAACGCTAGCCGCATGAGGCGCAACGACGACTGATGTTCAGCGAGTATGTTCGTCTCATAGGCACTCGCATGCAATTTTCCATTTTTCTACCGTTGTTCCGGTCGAAATCGAAGAAGAGAGCTCACAGGCTGACGGGGCCGGGTTTCAATAAGACTGGACCGCCCAGTGTCCAGCTCGGGAAAATTCTGGACTGCAAAAATTAATACATGGCCACATGCCCAATCAATGGCCCAGTAGAAAAGTTACAGTCACTAAAAAAATGATTAAAATTACAATTCAGCTCATTTAATATATATACTTAAATTAAGATTAGAAAAATGACAAAAAAGAAACTAAAAATTACTAAATGTCAAATAAAAAATTTTAACAAAAATTTATTGTTATTTACAAATTTAATATTATCAACACCAAATAAAATATTATTATTAAACCTGATTTAAGTATATAAATCCAATCAGTAGGATTATTAACTAATAACAAGTGAGTGGATATTAAGGAAACAGTTCTTTTTCTTGAGAACCCAGTGTATCGTTTCACTATATATGTCACTATATGTGGTGGAACTTTTTTCTATTTCAATTCTATAATAATGGAATTGAAAAAAAAATCTTCAAAAAATTGTATAAATTATATAAATTAGGATTATCATTCAAAGACCTTTTCTGTTTATCTATTATCCAAGTACATATAGTATTGGGTTGTTTAGTTAATCTAACACAATTGTGCGTAGGTTCATATATCTTTATCATAAAAGTCACACTATCCAGTGTGGGAGAAGCATGAATTCTCCGAGAACAACTGTTTGAAACACAAATAGCAATTACTTTTGCTTTTTATTTTTTAATCTGATTATATTAAAATTCTCTTGGATTATATAATCCCTTAAAACATTCCTAAACTCATTCACGTTAATAAACAACAGATCTCTGTCCAAATGCACTTTACCTTTAGCATCATACTCAAATTTTCTTCCTTTAACGTTCTTAAAAATATCTAGAAAGTTAGGCTTCTATGTCACTACCACTTATAGAATTTTCATTACCATCAATATCAACTTCAGACTCACTACCTTCATTGTCTTCTACACTATTCAAAATAGAATCATCATCAATCCTTTCACCCTTTTCCCTTCTCCTAGCTCATCATCATCATAATCCTCTTCTTCAGAATCAGTATATAATTTATCAATATGAGATTCACTTTTATCACAATTAGCAATATCTTCAATATGAGTTATATTACCCTGCAGTGAAAATTTTTAAAATTAAAATACAAATATAATAAAATCAAAACAGATAGAAAATAAACCAAGTAGCACAAATAGGTGATTGGTCATTTGGATACTAAATCCCTAAATAATATTTGGAAATTACTAAAGATAGCATGTATGTGTGAGACAATTTTCCAAAAAAACGTGCTGCAATTTTTGAAGAAACCGTAAATTAATATGTGTAGGAAATGGACCAATCCACCCTTGGTGGATTGGACCCAAGCCTATTTGTATTAGGACTCTGATGCAAATAAATAGGAAATTTGGGTCTTAAGTGGTGAATTTCACCATTTTACATAAATTACAAAAAAAGAAAGGTAGGGCAATTAAGGATAACCGTGAGGAGGCAGTTTATTTTTTTCTCAAAAAGGGAAGATGAAGTTAAAACTGACGAGAGGGTATCAGTTCCGTCTGGTCCTTTTTTTAGCGTTTTCCAAACTCCTTCCCTTGGTCCTCTTTTTTTCTCACCCACCGATACATTTGCTGTGTAACACTGATCCAAAATCTTACCGTAACCGGACCTCCGCGTGGCTATCTGAAGGCGTGAAACACTCTAGGTATACCCAAAAACCCTTTATTGGTATCAAAGTCTAGTTAGTAACCTGCATTTTTTCCGTTGCTCTATCTGTGTATGAAGCCTGCGTTTTTTATTTTTCTTACTGCTTCGGTGGATAATTGGGTTCTGTGATTTTCTTCAATCAATTATGCAAATCCTTTATCTTACTTTCAAAATCATAGTTCTGTATCTTATATTTGTGATTATAGATGCTAGATTCTACTCTACCTCCATGAACACTTTTTTTCTTGGATTGTTTTTTTTCAGCCGTACCATTTTCGTTTTTGGGTTTTCTTAAAATCAAGTTTTTAGCCTCCAAAACCTATCTCATTGTGTAGAGGACGAAAAAACAAAGAAAACGATATAAAGTACGTGAAATTTAGAAGTCAGACGAAGGAGATATGGAGGAGAGAAGTTTTCGAGTCCATCGGACCCGACCCGCTTGCGAAAACCGAGTCAAGACAATCTGGCTGGAGGTTGAAGATAACCTTCAAGGCCAAAACGGCGTCATTTTGGCCCTTCTGTAAAAAAAAAAATTGTTCTAGGCCGAATCGTAGGATCCAACCCAGAATAATTTTAAGAAAAAAGGAGAGGGAGACCAAGGGGGTGTTTGGCTGAGAAGCACTTTTCCGCAAATCGAGGCAAACTCCTCCATGTATTTACTTCGTATACCGTAAAAGCACTTATGAAACCATGGTTTTATTCTTACCCAAACACCCCCCAAATTGGGCCGGATCGTATCCAGCCCAGAATAAAAAAGGGGGTTTTCTGTCATTAAAAAAAACAACCCAATTAAAAAAAAATTTTCCAGTGATTTAAAAAAATAGGAGGAAAAAATGGCAGCAATGCCACATGCACGTGCCGCCACGTGGCATGCCCACTCGACACGGGGGCACCACCACCTGAGAGATGGTGGCGTGTGGAGGCTGCCGACACGGCACGTGTCGCCGGTGGCGAGCTACATGGCGGCGTGTGTAGTTCACGCGCCGACAGTGTGAGTGGGACTTAAAATTTTTCCTATTTTCTCGGATTTTTTGCTTTTTGGGGCGTGTGTAAGCGTGTGTATTGTGCAGTATGTCTTTAAAATCCAATATAGTTCATCAGATTGCTTAATAATAAACTCAGCTAATCTTTCCTTCTATATAAGTATTTTCGTACCTGTTCATTTTAGCAGCCATCATTCTCTTTTGTTTATTTTCTCAGCGTGAAACTGAATCAACAATACTCGTATGTAATGCATTCAGATGGTTATATACACACACACACATATAAACAATTGTTATATATTCCGGTCAACAGCTAGATAACTAATTTAGAGATATTAAGAAAATTATATAAATCAATTATTTGTAATAAATATGTAATAAATGTGTGCTGACTTTCTTAAATTACTTTTATTCAATCATGTACATCAAAACTATACTTGGATGAAAATACCTTACAATTAATAGGGAAATTTTTTAGAACATATAAATTTAAGAGATAAAACGGATTGAGGTCTTATATTTAAGACTACTAACTAACTTTTATATTTAGAGCCAAAGGTAGTATAATACATTGAAATAGAAAAGGGTAAAAAGTTTTGCAGTCTTCAGCCAAAGGATAACCATAGTTATTTAGTAGTACTGATACATATATAATGAAGCATGCAATCGCATGACGCATGCCTCCACAGTTACAGTGCAAACAAAGCAATCTGATGAACCAAAAAAAAAAAAACAGTATTACAAGGCAAACAAAAATTAAAGAGATTCTGGTTAGTTAATAACAACATTAATTAATAATTATAATTATAATTTGAAATTAAAGCAGCTGAGGTGGCAGCCATACATTGGCTCCAGGGTCAGGTCAAGATCGTTCCTTCCCATCGTCGTTTCTTCTTCAGCGTAATTACCACTGCATTTACATAAATCATTAATTGTCATCAAACGTAAATGATTTTTATAATTATGTGTTGGATGATGCACATCTTAATTATTTTAAAATTTCAATTTATAATCCAATTCCTTATTGCTTCCATTTAAATAATTATTTTTCATAAGTTATTAGTTAGAAAATTAGTAGCATTATATTATTTTTCACATCAATTCATTATTAAATTTTAGCTAAGAATTTAATATAAATTAAAACCTTTCCAATTAAATCTTATCAACATAAATGAAATATGCAAATGTGTATGCTTACACTCTCCAAATAATAATCAGCACCACAAGGCCCAAAAAAAAAAAATCAGCACCACAAAGGAGGAAATCCACATATGGTGCACAACAATTTCGTAAACACAAAATCTATAGTATCTCATTAATTGGAGGAGATGTCGCGAATCTTGTCATTGAATTTTATGTTATAGTGCGATTCATCTTGGACTCATTACAAGTACACGGAAAAAAAAAAATTTAATTAACAAGAATATAGGTTGAGTTAATCATAAAAACAAGCACTAGTGTATGAGAGAAAGTTAGGACTTGTTTGTTTTTGTTTTTTTTCCCTACAACAAATTTATAATTTTTTTAAAATAAGTTTTTGAGAATAGAAAACAAAAAGAATATATTTGGATAATTATTTAAAAAAATCACATTTGAAACAAAAAACATAAAAAATCGTATTTGGCTGGGAGTGGCCGTCACTGGCGATAATACTTGGCAGGTAATAAATGAGAAAAGAAGGAAATTTCTCCATTTTTTTCAAAACAAAAAAATAAAAGTAAGAAAACATCCGAAAATTGTTTTTTTTAAGTTTTCAAAAACATATTGTTATTTTTTTTATAAAACAACCAATTAAAAACAAATTATCAAACATTGTTTTTATTTTTTTTATTTTTAAAAACATAACATTCTTTTCAAAACAAGAAACCAATCAGCGATTAATCTTTTTGTTTGTTGTTCTATTTTTTACTTGATTATAACTTAGTTAGTAAATTTTGAGTCAATATAATTTGATCTCTATGATTTGGCCATTTAAAATATTAGTCTACGTTTTTATAGTAAAAAAAATTATATACTTCATAAAACTGAGTTTTAAATTGTTAAAACTATATAGGGTCTAAGTTCCGGTGAGTAAAAGTGTAACGACAGAGTTTAAACTGAGCGAAAACTATCTAAACTTGGTCGTACCAAGTCAAAGTTTAATACTAAATTACAACTAACTCAAATTAAAACTACAGGGAGCAAAATATTAATTTTTTCCTAAATATAAACATGTCAAACATAAGTTTCTTTGTAAGATGGCTTTTGTACACACAGACATGTGCGTGTATCTAGAGAGAGAGAGAGATGAAGTACCTGATGATTAGAGAGGGAAGAGGATGATGAGGGAGTAAGAAAGAAGGGTTAGGAGCAGCTTCATGGCTTGGCTGCTCCCATGCCTGCTGTGCCTCTGCTGTTGCGGCAGCCTTCTCCCTCTCCTTTATCTGTTTTCATTCACATACATTACAATGCATGTACACACACACACACACACAATCGTATATAAATATAAATATCAAACTATAAAAGCATGATATATGCTCTGTGGAAAGTAAGGTGTCTTCTCCGCAAAGCACTCTACTTGTTTAAATTAGTCTTATGCAAGAAAGAAAGCCAATAACACAAGAAAATAAACGGCCTTTAATTTCCGGGGTAACATTACAATGATTATATATATTAATTATCAGTAAAATGAAAGGAAAAAAATAATTATGGCATGAATATAATAATTACCTTCTTTGCAAGCATGCTATTTTGTTCCTGTATGGCCCTCTCCTGTCAGAACAAAATGAAATCTCACAAAAAATGAATTTAAGTTGAAATGACATGGCAGACAGAGTCAAAATTAATGCATCACGCAACAACACTACTACGATACCTTTTTCTGAAGCTCAGAAATGGACTCGTACATCAGCTGATTCTGCAGTATATTCAAGACGTAAATTGAAATATCTCAGTTCCACTAAAGGAAGAAGAAGAAAGAGAGAATGTGAGATATATATATATATGTATGTATATATATACTTTGCGTGTACGGATATGTTTGATAGCAGTTTCTAATTGCTGCTCTAAACTCTGAAGCTCTTTGAGGCTGAGTGAAGCAAGATCTTCTCCCATATAATGGCTGAGATCAAACCAGACACAGATAAAGATAACTAAGACTAATAATTAAGAGGTAAAATTATTGATTGGTTAGTATAATGGTAGAACTTTGCCTTTGGTTTCTTTGCATGAGATCAATCTTAGCCTTCAGTCTAGAATACTCAAAGGTCCAGTTTTCCTGCAGAACGATTTAACAATAATGTGCATAGCTCAATTGATTAGAATTTCACAACACGTCTTGATTATTTTAAGGATGCGGATCATTTGGTAATGGAAATTCTGGAGAAATTACAAGATTATACTACCTCCGGTCCTAATTATAAAACCTTACTTGTAGTCTATAAATGAGACCTTATAATTAGAACCGGAGGTAATATATGATAATATGAGTCTTCCATGTTCATCGTTTTCTTTTATTAAGTTTGTTTTTAATCAGAATTATTATTAATCCAAATATGAATAGATTAAAGACAAACCTGCGTCCCGGAATCATTTCCAGCAAGCTGCCTCTCAGCATAGTTATATCTTTCATAGCGCTCCAGTATCTTCTCCATGCTGTTTCATTCCCACAAGAAAAAAAAATGGCCACTAATTAAATCTCTTCATTTCTCTCTCCCCATGTCTCTCTCTCTCTCTCTCTCACACACACCCCCCTATTTGTGTACCAAATGTGGAATCCACACAACATAACACATGCAATTCTGTGGTCTATATGTGTGTGTTAAATTGCCTCTTCTAAATCATAAACTAATCTTAACCATCTTAACAGAACTGACCACCCATGAAGCCAAAAAGAAGAAGTGGGCAGTTCAAACATGGGAAAAGATGAAGAAAAGAGAGAGTTCACTTAACATTCTTGTTGATTAATTTATAAAGGTCAAGGAAGATCAATAAATTACTTAATTTTTTAGCATATGTTACATGATTTCTCTTAAACATTTATGTGTATCATTAAGTTAGGCTAATTAGTTTGAAGAAAAATAACAATACTTTGAGTAATTTATTTCCCTTCATTAATTTTCTGAAATTCGTTAATTAAATTTTATATTAAGAAGTTGATGTAGTATATAACTACATGTATGTAGTAGTAATAATTCTTCTTAGACTTATTTGTTTTCCTAAATGAATCCACCCTTGACTTTTTCAGCTAAAATATTTGTGCAACACATTCTGAACTCCTTTGTCCTTATTATTATAAGCCATTCTTTATAGTCCTTAATTAATTTAAAAAAATCATTTGTTTAAAGTATTATTTTCCCCTAAATAATACCCTTTACTTCATAACTAATTAAACAGCTTCCTCTAATTCATGAGATCTATTGAGAAAAATTTTAAAATTTTTAAACTATTAACTAATTTAAAACTTATGAAATCTTTTTTTTTTGGGTAAAAAACTTATCAAATCTTTATTCTATGAATTGTTGTTGACATATATATCCTACTAAGCATAGGATGAAGCGTTTGTTATTATCCATGATTTTTTTTTCCTTTCAGCTAGATAATCAATCATGCGAGTGACTATGAAACGCTGGTTAATAAATCAATGGCAATCAACACTATTTTAAGTTACTACAATGAAATTAAGGAACCTAAAAGTAAAGGGTCAATTAAGTACTACAATTAACCCATATTTCCTGTCCAATAAAAATTAATAAGGTACGGAGTACTACTTTTAATTTGCTTTAAGGTAATCTCGTGTTGACACATGTTCATCTAGGAGATTGCACCCTGACAAGACATCCTTAGGTACTCCATATATCAAAAGGGCATAAAATCAAAGCTAGAGAACATACTTCTTGCTTTCTTTAATTTCTATAAGCCATCATTTGAAAGGACTAGACTTGAAACTCCCAGACCAGACATTAAAAAGCAAGCTAGACCAGAAAAGGATGAAACATTATCAAAGCAGAAAACTTGCACTTGTTTCAGAAAAAAATTTAAAACAAAAAAAAACAAAAAGTTGAGGATGAAAATCAACTTTTGACAGGAAATTAAAATGTCAAATGAAAACGAAAAATACAAATAAAAGCTCGCAGTTGCAGCAGAATGCAGCTTTTGCATCCATGTCCTGAGCTGAAAGGACTTGAGCTTTAAAATGAAACATGACAAGAAACTAATCCACAAATTAAGGTTCTCCACTCCATCATCAATGATGAATTGAATTATTGAACCATGAAATGAAGTGAAACATAAGTAATGGTTTTACAAGGATCATAGGTACAGTATGATTTTCTCAACCTAGAAGAGGACAGAGCTCTGAATCAAAGTTGTAGCAACGAAATTACTGAACTGTTGATGTACCTGTAAGTTGTTGGAAATGGTTATTATATTAATATTATATGTGTCTTTTAGGATTGTGAGTCATAGCTTTGTGTGTCTAAAATTATTTCGGTCGAATTTATACATGTACTTCTTGAATTGCGTGTTTCAAGGATGATGTTTTAGTAAACCTTGTTAACCAAATAGGAGGCAATTTTAAGAGTTGATAAAAATAATATAGGATTAATACAATATTCATTCTTATTTTGGTTTTGGTCTTTTTTAATTTTAAATCATAGGTTTTGATTCTTCAAATTTCTTTTTGTCTAAATCATTTGTCTCTGTATATTTAAATAATGACTTGGACCATTTAGCTATTAAAAGACTAAAACTTATGATTTAAAATTATAGGATGAAGCAAACTGTAAGGACGAGACATTATATCAACCCAATAGTATAAATAGCCTAAATTTTTTGTATTGTTAAGATAGGAGTTGAGTTGTATGATAAGATAGATATGACATGAGTGAATTTTGAGTTCTTCATAGTAGATTTGAGTAACTTTGACTTGTTGATCAAGCATATTATTTTCTTTGTTCTAACAAATTGGTATCAAAGTTGAGTAAAAGGAAAGAGAGAAAAGAAGAAGGTTTGCATCTCCATATATATATATACTATTTTAATAAAAGGAATGTGTTGAGAGTGTGACTAGTGATGAGTCAAAAAGATGAGAAACTTGAAGATACACAAAGAAATATTAATGCAATGAGAATGATGGACTTAATTGGTTTAATATCTCAGTTGCTAGGGTAATCACAAAATAATATAAACTAGTGATATTTTACTATCTCTTTTTATTTTACAATTAATCATTATTTTGTTAAGAATTAATAATTAAGAGATTATTTTAGTCTGTACTTTGCATATTTTAAGGTTAAAATAAAAAAATGTATAAAGAATTTGAATGGTCTAATATATATGTTCAGATTTCTTTTGGTCAAAGTAAACAATTCAGATTTGTTGCTCCTTCAAATTCAATTTTGCTTTTCTACATCAGTTGTCTCTTTTTTATTCCTTGAGAGGCTTCTAATTAAATCTTCATGAGCTTCTTATGACTAAATTTATTGCTATTGAATGAAATTAGAAAAGAAAGATGCAGAAATAATCAAGCATTAGAAAGAGGAAATTAAAATGAACAATTAGAAAGTAAGCAAAAAAAAATAGAGAAATTGAAGGATCCAAGACTATATATGAAGATTAAATTGCTTTTTTTTTTAAAAATCAAGTCACCCAAAATTGATGACTGGAAGATCACTAGCATGTCTTGGAGTACAGAGGAAAACATATTTAAATTCAAGAAAAAAATGATAAATATAAGATTAAATATTATGTTCTCTTTTAGGATTATGTGTGTGAATGTCTTAGTTTTGTGTGTGGGTGAATTTATGGAGGTATAGAATTATGTGTGTGTGTGAGAAATATGTCTGATTTCATAATATATATAATATATATATATATATAGAGAGAGAGAGAGAGAGAAGGGTGAAGGGTATTGTTTGGTATTATGTTAAGAGTGGAGTTCTAAAAGTGAAATTTTATATAATAAAAGGGTATTTTTAGTAGATTTCCCTTTTTCCTTATTATTTTCTTGATTGTAGTTCAGTATATTTAAGCATGTGTGTATACATAATTTAAATTGATTTCCAAAAGTATATATTTGTGTTTGTTTGATCTGTGCGAAAATATAAATTTATAATTAACCGAAATATTTTATTTTAGTTCTTTCTATTTATCAAACATAGAACCAAAACACTCATCAAATGCAAAACAAAACAATAGAAGAAATAAGATAAAAATGATTCGTGTAATTATTCTCCAACATTTATGTATGAGCACAATCAAAGTTAAAGCAATATAATACATACACATATATACATATATAGAACAAACGTTTTCCCCCTCATGTTAATTTCAACCCAAAACGAAAACCATGGTTATGGTCATTAATTACTACCTTCGATTATAATTCTAATTATAAATCTCGTTTGTAGACTGTAAACAAGATCTTATAATTAGGACAGAGGTAGTAATTCTTAAAGGAAAACAACAGTATTATTAATAACTCCGATGGAAATTAATTAGCAAAAAACATCAATGTTATAGGTATACCACTTGTGACATGCCTAGTACTCCTAATTAAGAAATGCACAAACCAGCTAGATTTACACACACACACACACACAAACTTAACTATTACTAAAAATAAAACCTTAATAACCTCACCATCTATATCTTTCAATCCAGAGACGAAGCCCTAAAAAGGGGAAGGAAAAAAAAATACTAAAAGAAAACAAGCTGGAGTAATTCATTAAACACTAATACATGTTACATACAGCCAATCCCCCCACCCAAAAAAAAGATAAGAAATCCAGTTTGATCAGAACAAAAATAAAATTTAAGTCATTAAGCAAAAACTTGATTGCTTCCCTCAACAGATTTCTTTCCAGATCAAAACCAGTTTCCACTCTGAAAACCAAATTAATCAGAAGAAAGCACAGAAACAGCAAGTATAACACAAACAGATTCACACAGAAGGCATAAAGGTAACAAGCGAGAAAGCAAAAACGAAAGAAACACACACACATCTATATATATTATAAGTACATATATACCAAGAATCAGTGGCATATTGGAAGAGCTTTCCTTTGTTATTGAAGATGATCAAAGCAACCTCAGCATCACAGAGCACAGAGATCTCATGGGCCTTCTTCACTAACCCAACCCTCCTCTTTGAGAACGTAACCTGCCTGTTCACCTTGTTCTCTATCCTCTTCAACTCAACCCTACCTCTCCCCATTTCCTTAATTATATATAATACTATATATAAGCTTCTCTTATAGTATACACACACACACACTGATGATACTGATAAAGTGACAGTAATATAATACTGGAACTCCCTTTTCCTTTTTCCTTTTTCTTTTTTGCTGAGAAAATTTCCCAAACAAGTGAGACCCAAAGGGCTGAAGGAGAAAGAGAGAAGGAGAATGTTTAGGGTTTTCTGGACAAGAATGGAGGAGGCCGGAGGGGTTTTTAAGCTTTTTTAGGGCAAAGAGATTAGGGTTTGTGAGGGGCGATTATGCGTTGTCGATCTCTCATTGGTTGACCTCTGCAAAGGGTCGCCTTCTTTAGTGTCGACCACATGTGGGGAGATTATTATAGTTATTTCTTATTTATTCCTATTTTAGTCTTTTCGTAATTATGATGATCTTGCTTTCTTCTTCTTCGTCTTCTTT